ATTTCTGTGACAGTGACCTCTTTTATCGTATGTGTTCACGTGGTGTATAGAAAGGGTATTGACTTTCATGTATTACATTACTTGCACATTGCATTTATCATTATTTTTGAAGTATTTACTGGATTCATTCATTTGTTGGTTCATTCATTTTTTATTAACTGTTTGTCTGCTGTATATCATGCTGACCGTGGGTACAGAGATGGGAAAATAAACACAGTATTTGTCCTTATTTGAGCTTACAGTGAAGTAGGGGAGAGAAAGTTAATTAAAATAGTTACACATAATTAAGTGCCGTCAAAGAAAAGTATAGAGTGTCATGAGAGATACCAGGGGATTTAATACGATCTGGAGGGTCAGATCATATTTCCTTAGGGAGAGATTAAGAATGTGTAGGCAGTGAACAATGAGAAAATGAAATTAAGAAAGCAGATTTATTCATAACATAAAAAATACTTACGAAGAAGTATAACAAGAGTCTTAAGACAAAGGTACACTGAGAACTAACAAACATTACTGAGAGAAGTTAAAGAAAATCTAAATAAATGGAGAGACGTTCCATGTTCATGGATTAGAAGATTCAATATTGTTAAGATGGTGATTTCTCTCCAAATTGATCTTTAGATCCAGTGCAATCCTTATCAAAATCGCAGCAGCCTTTTTTTTTTTTTTTTTTTTTTTTTTGGCAACAGTTGACAAGCTGGTTCTAAATTTCATATACAAATGCATAGGACTGATAATAGCCAAAACCATATTGAAAAATAACAAAATTGGAGGACTTAGACTTTCCAATATCAAAACTTAATATAAAGCTACAGCAATCAAGACAGTGTAATACTTATGCATGGAGAGACATACAGATTAATGGCACACAATTGAGAGTCCAGAAATAAACCATTATATTTATGGACAGTTTATTTTTGATGAAGGTAATAAAGCATTTCAGTTGGGGAAAACATAGTCTTTTTCAACAGATGATGTTAGGTCATTGGGTATCCACGTGCAAAAAGTGGATTTTGACCCTGTCTTAGTTATATAGTGCTGCTATAACAGAAATACCACACGTGGGTAGTTTTAACAAAACATTTATTTTCTCACAGCTTAGGAGGCTAGAAGTCCGAATTCAGGGCTTCTAGAGGAAGGTTTTCTCTCTCTGTGGGCTCTGGGGGAAGGTCCTTGTCTTTTTTTCAGCTTGTTTCCTGGTTCCTTTGAGATCTTATATAGCATGGCATTTTATCTTCCCCATCCCTGCTTGCTTGATTAATCTGCTCTTTTAATATCTTAAAAGAGATTTAAGGCACACCCTATACTAACACTGTCTCATTAACAAAGGAAACCCATTCTCAAATGGAATTATAACCACAAGTATAGGGGTTAGGATTTACAGCACATATTTTTCGGGGACACAATTCAATCCATAACAGACCTTTACCTTACGCCGTACACACATATTAATGAGAAATCGCATCATACCCATTACAATAGCTATAATCAAAAAAGCAGACCATAACAAAAGTTGTCAAGAATGTGGAGAAACTGGAACAGTCATATATTGCTGGTGGGAATGTAAACTAATATAGCCACTTTGGGAAACAGTTTGGTAGTTCTTAAAAAGTTAAATGTAGTTTTATCATATGACCCAGCAATTCTACTTTTAAGTATTTACCCAAGAGAAGTGAAAACATATGTTCATACAAAAACTTGTACACAGATAATCAGAGCAATATTATTCATAATTGCCTAAAACTGGAAAAAATAAAAAATTCCATCAACTGGTGCATGGATGAATAAAATGTGATATATCTATACGGTGAATGTCATTTGACAGTAGAAAGGAATGAAACACTGATAAATTCTACAACATGAATAAACCTCAAGAACTCTTTGCTAAATGGCAGAGCCACATGGAAAATGCCACATATCCTATGATTCCAGTTACATTAACTGTTCAGGAAAAGCAAATCTGTAGAGACAGAAGGATTATTGGTTGGCTGGGGCAAGGGCTGGAGCAGGGATTGGCTGCAAATAGGTGTAAGAGATCTTTTTGTGGTGGTGGAAATGTTCTAAAATTATTTATGTGGATGTTTGCACAACTCTTTAAATTTCATAGAAATTATTGAATTGTACATTTAAAATGGGTGAATTTTATGGTATGTAAATTATACCTCAGTAAAGCTATTTTAAAATATTAATAATACAAACCTGTATCTGGCTAATTGTAAAAGAATTTTGGAAAAAATGTGTGGAAGCTAACTAAAGAGTTTAAGTCTAGAGATTGTTAGAAGTAGAGAAATTGGTGGAGGTAGAGAAAATATTTGCATTTAGGTGGGAGGCAACATAATAGAGAAAAACTAAATTAAGCCAATGTCTTCAACTGCCATGAGTGAAAAAGAAGAAACAGTAAGGGAAGTGTGGAGAGGTAGGTGGAAACCATGTTAAGAGTTTTTCGTCTTTATCTTAGGAGCGGTGTAAAGGAAGCCTTTGAAGGAGTAGGATCTGCTAAATATAAGTATGCCTTTCTTCTCTGGGGTAGATTATTTTTGGGTTCATTTGCTTGCTGAGAAAGAGAGATGTTGCTGGGTGGAAACCCCAGGTTCTGCTCTGCACAACTCATCTCAGCCAATAAATGAGAGACCGAGGTGGGAGAGTGGAAATGCGCCTTTATTTTGTTGCGCAAGGAAAAGAAACAGTGGGGGCTGCTGCTGCCAAGACTGCTTAGTGAGGGTGAGGGGGGAAGGTTACTTTTAAGTTTACAAGTAGGAAGTTCATACAAGTTACATCAGCAACATTCTTAATCATACTATGCAGGCACAGCGGGGTGTATATATAACTTCATGCATCGTGTGTTCAGAAGATGGCAGTTAAACTCAACCCAGAGATGAGGAAGTTACTATGTATGAGGTCTAAAAGGTTATCCTGAATGTCAGCATGGCGCCTAAACTGGTTTCCACCAATTTCCTCTGCTTTGGGGCAGCAGTTAAGCAGAGGGTAACCGGAATTTTAATGTAAAGCTATGGGGCGTGCCAAGCAAGCTGCTTGAGGCAGTAGAATTTTCCGCAGCCTGGGGACCCAATTTTAAAGGGTTTCACTTTCCTTTTGTTTACTTATTGGATGCATTGTGAAGCAATGTTCTGAGGGTGGAATTCTTTGCAAGGACTGAACAGTTTCTGATTCCTAAGGTGGCATGGCTCTCTTGGTGGTGGGAATGAACTTCAAGACTTTCCTACATTTATAGTAGAATCTGAGGACAACTTGGTGACTACTTAATAGCAAAGTGGGATAAAAGTAGGCTGGCAGTGACATCCAGTCATAACTTTCTTCAGTTGTATTTTTGGGCATATTTATTCTTTATTGATTTTATACTTTATTGGGTTTTTAAAAGTCATATTTAAAAAAAGTATTAAAGAAGCAAGATTTCTAAACAAAGAACTTTAACCTTTGCAGGAATTTGTATCTTCCTTCAGTGAATATGGGAAGGGATATGAAGAACTTTAAAGTGCCCACTGGAAAGTTTACTGTTTTTTCCCTTTTCATGGCAAGCAATAGGATTAACCCAGAAGGCTTACTTTGAGTTATATGTCGAATGGTTTGGAGGATGGGCCTAGGTTTCTGGTTAGAAGATCTTATTATTCATTGAGAACAGAGAACACATTGAGAACAGAGAACAGGCTTAAAGGAAATGATAATTTGATTTCAAATGTTTTGAGTTTGAGTTGTCTTTGACTTGACGTGCCAGGTAGACAGGTAGGTACACAATTCTGCAGCTCAAAGGAGAGATTTGGCTTGTAGATATTAGGATCTTCTACATATTGGAATTAGGAGTCCCTTGGTGGTACAAACTTAACACACTCTGCTACTAACTGAAAGGCTGGCAATTTGAGTCTACCCACAGTGCCTCAGAAAAAAGGCCTGGCGATCTTGACTTCCAAAAATATCAGCCACTGCAAATCCTGTGGAGCACAGTTCTACTCTGACACACATGGGGTTGCCATGAATCAGAATTGACAGCAACTGTTTTTTTTTATATATTGGAATTAACTGAAGCCTTAGTTATGGTGAATCATATACATGAGAGAAACAGAAGAAGAGACAAAGAAAAATAATGAGATTATAAAGTAACATTTAACGAGATGCTATCTTTTCATTGGAGATTTAACTGAATTAAAATATGCTGACAAACATAAGTCATCTGATATTTTATCCCTCAAACATATTAAATGCATGACTGGATAGACATTATTTATGTCTGTCAGGATAAAATTTAAGAAAAATAAATAGGTCATATCATAATCCAAGTTATAGTTGAAAATGATATAATATTGACAAATGTGAATTGTCTTTAGAATACGTAAATGTTGTCAGAAATAGAATTTTGTAATATGCACGTGTAATATATTTAAGTCATATTCATCAGATGTGATAGATCCAGTACACAGAAATGAAGAGCATGAAGTTGACTATATAATTAATAAGACAGAGCTAATGAACATATAGAATGCTCTGTAGAAGCGAGGTTGGTAAGACTTTGTCACACTTACTTTGGACATGTTTTCAGAAGGGGCCAGTCCTTGGAGAAGGACATCATGCTTGGTAAAGTAGAGGGTCAGTGAAAAAGAGAAACACTCAATGAGATGGGTTGAAACAGTGGCTGCAATAATGGGCTCAAACATATCTACCATTGTGAGCATGGCATAGGACCGAACAACATTTCGTTCTGCTATACGTAGGGTAGCTGTGAGTTGGAACTGACTCGAAGGCATCTAACAACAACAATGAACATATACTTCTGAAGTTTATATTGTAAGATAGTGATTATATTTTTTCCCATGTGAACATGGTCTGTATAAAATCTCAGGCAACATTTAAAAATTCCCAAGTGTTACTTAATTTTTAATTTGCAATATTATCAGAATGTATCTCATGCTGTGTACTTCATACTAAGTTCATATACATGTAAATATGTGTATTTATTTACTCATTTATTTACTTATTTATTTAAACAGTTCAGAAACGATTGCCAGATGTTGGTATATCCTACTTTCTGGATCTGTGCTTATGAAAGACTCCATGGTCTTGCCTCCATGCAGGTATGTTTATATTTACTGCTTAGTGCATATGTCAGGCAAAATTATCATTACAACTATTTATTTTATCTTTTATGTTAAACTGTTTTGTACAGCACATGTGTGTTTTCTCCCAGTAAGTGTTACATTATATGTCCTGCTTGTTGGTACTATTGGGAATTCTTGGCAGAAATTAATATTTCTTATTTCTGAGGGTGTAATTTTTAAGTTTCTCCATGACATAATACCTTACTCCTATTTGATCCTTAGTTTTCTGTGAGATTTGATCTGATATATCTGATGATTTTTTAATTCATTCTCATTACATTGGTTATAGAGAGGCAGTAATAACATAACAGTTACGAAATTGGTCTTTGGAGTTAGGCAAACTAGGTTAGAATCCTTATTTCATCACTTATTAGTTATGTGACTTCGGACAAATTTTGCTTTTCTCGTCTATAAAATAGAGACGACAATAACATCTATGTAAGTGTTACAAGGTTTTAATAAGCTACTACTCAAAGCTCTCAACAGAAGTTTCATGAGTTTATATCTCTGCTGTATTACTTCTTGGGCGAATTACTTAACCTTTTTGTGCCTCAGTGTCCTTATTTGTAAAAATAGTAATGATATTTATTTTATCTCTTATGTTAAACTGTTTTGTGCAGCACATAGGCTAGTTCTCAGGATTAAATGAGGTAGTATATAAGGTCTTAGAAATCGTTAACAACCTGCAGCATGCAGGTGACATATCTTTGTGTGCCCAAAATGAAGACGATGTGAAGCACTATGCAATGAAAAAAGAAAAGAAGAATTGATACATTTGAATAGTGGTATTGTCAAATACTGAGTCTACCACTGACTGCCAGAACAAACAAATCAATCTTAAATAAAACCGAAATGTTCCTAAGACGTGAGGATGGCAACACTTTTTCTTGCTTACTTTGGATCCATTATCAGGAAAGAACAATTGCTAGAAAAGGACAAAGAACGTCATGTTTGGTAGAGGGTCGGCAAAAACAAGGAACACCCTCAATAAGATGGATTCACACAATAGTCACAACAGTGGGCTCAAACATAGTAAACATCATGAAGAGTCCATAGGACTGGGCAACAATTTATTCTGTTACACATTAGGTCACTATGAGTTGGAGCTGACTGATGGCAACCAACAACAATTTATAGAAATATAGCCAGTTTCTCTAGATTTTAAGATATTTATTACTCCCTGTATCAGTTGGGTAAGTCAGGAGACAGAAACTACCAAGTAAATTGAACAGGGATATTTTAATTTAAAGAATTATTAACTATTTCAAGGAATTAGTTACTACGAAGGGATAAAGGAGAGCTCTGAAGAATACCCTAGGGCTGAGGGAGAATACCCAAAGAAGAAATGAACTTAAAAGCGGGGGTCTCCTCCTCCAGACTGGAATTCGTATCTTGTTGGAGAATATATTGCAGCCCAGTAGATAGCGGAGAAGTTCATTGGGTTGCCCTGGGCCAGCGCTGGTGCAGTCACTGGGTCCAGACTGGTAGGAAGGGAGATGCTGGCCAGGACTAGCAAGCAGGATAGAGATGTGTGTGTTCAGGCTAGGGTGCAGGGACAGGAATTGCTCCTGTTACAGTGTCCTTTTAGCACCCTCTGCTGACAAATCAGAAACCCTGGTGGCACAGTGGTTAAGTGCTGTCGCTGCTAACTGAAAGATCGGTAGTTCAGATCCACCAGTTGCTCCTTGGAAATTCTATGGGGCAGTTCTGCCATGTCCTATAGGGTCGCTGTGAGTGGGAATTGACTTGACGGCAACGGATTTGATTTTTTTTTTTTGTACTGATGAAGCTGTAACATTGCGCCAGATGGCAAGGGAGAACATTTATAGAATACAGCTCCTTTATCACAAAGTAGGGCAATAAAGGGTGGGTTTGAAGCTGAGAACCAATACATTTAGAGCTGAGAGGCAGTAAATAAATAACTGGCACAGTCCATCCCCTTGGCTACACGCTTCTAAACACATTGGAATTTCCATCCAACAGCAAAACTGTTTCCACCTAGGAAGATATAACTATCCTTCAGAAGAAGTTCTTACCCTCTCTCCAAAATAAAGAGATACACAGTCCCAACAATCATTGTATTCATTGCTGGCTATATTAATTATTCCTCAAATTCCATCACAGTGCCTCCGATTAAATCTGTTAACTGAAGATTAAATTGTAAAGTTCACCTCCAACAACTTGTATATAAAATGAAAATGAAGAGAGAGGAGAAGAAAATGATTAACACGCAAATACACATACATATTGAATAATTATATTATTGTAAATTATAAGCAAAGAGAAAAGCTACTAGTCCCCATTTCTGTACATAAAGTTGAAGCTGATATCTCTGACTTGCTTCTTTCACTGCCCGTTTGATACTTCTGCTCTCAGTCAGAACGTCAGCTGCTCTGGGTTCTTTACCTGATAATATGAAAAAAACTTTTATTTCTAAAGGATCTGAGTCCTCAATTACCTTTTTCTTTTTTTGGTGGCTGCTTATAGTTTCCCATTAACATTTACTAGTGGACATGAGAGGACTATGAGGAACCCAAGAATCCCCTCAGACATAGTCCTCCTGGCCTCCATTGTGTGCAATAGCTCAATTTTCCCTCGGTAATTGAGATCATTCACTGTAGCGAGTAGAGTAATTCCTTTTCCTGCCTGTTGGTTCAGTGTCATAAGGAGCCCAAAATGACCAGGTGGCAGTTTCTAACTCAGTGGAACAATTTTGTGTCTCCTAGTATAAGCAGGAGCACTTTTTTTTTCTTCTTTTTTTTTTTTTTTAATTGTACTTCAGGTGAAGGCTTGCAGAACAGATAGTTTCTCATGAAACAGAAGTGCACGTTATTTTATGACATTGGTTAACAACCCCACAACATATCAACCCTCTAACTTCTCAACCCCCCCCCCCTTTTTTTTTTGGTGAAAATACACATAGCCAAAGATAAACCATTTCAAAAATTTCTACATGCACAGTTCAGTGACATTTACTACGCTCTTCCAATTGTGCTGTTATTCTCACTTAAGATGAAGGCTTACAGAGCAAAATAGTTTCTCATTTAACAGTTACTACAAATGTTAACAATCTCACAACACATCAACAGTATCCTTACTCAGCCTTGGATTCCGTATCACCAGCTTCCTTGTCCCCTTCTGCTTTCTGGCCCTTGTCGCTGGACTCCTGTACCTCGTTAGTCTCATTTGGTTTTACGGGGCTATCCACTCCCAGGCTGAACAGTGAACCTCGGAGGTAACTTCACCACTGAGCTAAAAGGGTGTCTGGGGGCCATACTCTCGGGTTTTCTCCAGTCACCTTTAGGCCAGTAAATCTGGTCTTTTTTTTGTGAGTTAGAATTATGCTCTACATCTTTCTCCAGCTCTGTCCAGAACCCTCTGTTGTGATCCTGGTCAGAAGCAGGAGCACTTTTGGACACTAAGACCACTGAATTAGCAGTGCTCAAATTTGCTAGGAGGGGAAACAAATTCTACAAAAGGATTTTTAGGTATAACAGTGAGAAGAACCACTCCTACTTCCAAGCCTTGAGCATGAGGCCCATGTATTCTGGCTATTGAGACAGATAGAAACCCTTGCTGTACTTCTCTTGCTACGAGATGAGTTCTTTGATCAAAAACAATGCACTGGAGTGCCAAGATAGTAGATAAAGCATTTTGTGAGCCTATGGATGGTGGTGCTCGCAGAAGCGTTATGGGCAGGGAAGACAAATCCATATCCAGAATACGTGTTTTTGATGACTTCTGGGTAACGTGGCGCTATAGGCGGAAGCACCACACCGTCCCTCCGCAGCAAAGATCAGAAAAACTAAGTCAAACAGAGTCACACATCAGTCCTGAAACGCTAAGCATCAAATGAGGAGATAAAGAACTCAGCCAAGCACCATGGAATCAGAAACTGACCGAGAACAGAGAGTGAGGAGAGATACATGCAGAGGTCCCTTATCAGCTACTGCAGCACGGATCCGCCACCCTGGACTCCTGTCGGAGACCAGTGAACAGGGGGTACAAGAAAGCAGCTTCATGGAGCTTCCAGCAGGAGACAGAACAACCAGTAACCAGCGATATATGCTTTCCTACCCCCCACCCTTCTTCACCCCCATTTAGCCTCCTCTGCTTCCTGCAGCCACAGTCTCTTGGCCGGGAAGCACCAACTTCACCCCGGTGTCACTTGGATTCCACCCGCCTGCACTGGCTGGCTCCCTGAGTGCCTTTTGTTGGCTGCTGGTGTTGCTTTTTTCTGCTTCTTTAGATTTTTTCCTTGCCTCTCACCACCTCCCCCTCCTGTCTCTCAAATACCTGGCTCCGTGCATCATCTTTGCTTCTTCCTGAAAGGCTGTGAAACACTGCTCGACTGTGAAACTGCTTCCCGGCCTGTGCTGCCATGCTGGTGGGACCCCCGGGGCTTTTTTGTTGGTTTGCTCTGGTTTGTTCTGTTTTGATTTGTTTGTTTTCTTTTTCTTTTCTTGGCTTGGGAGCCCCTTCTAGCCAGCCAGTACTGCTTGGCTTGGAAGCTACTCCCTTACTCTGCACAGACGCACAGGGACATCCCTGGGGGCATTTCTTTTTTCTTTTTTTCTGGGTTTTTTTTTTTTTTTGCTTTTGGTTTTTTTGTTTTGTTTTCTTCTCTCTCTTATTCCCTTTTTGTCTTTCTTCATTTCCAGTTTCTTGATTTATTCGTTGTTTTTCCTTTACCCTTTTTGTTTTTCCCCATTTCTTAGTCTCTCATCTCTCCACTCCAATAGCAAGCTCCCTTAGCACTCTTTTTTGTTTGTTTGTTTGTGGCTCATTTTTCTCTCTCCTCTCTCTCATCTTTCCCATACCCATTTTAGCTCCACACATCACTGTCTGCCCCCTCCTTCCTGCGTACCTGCACCATGCGCTGAACATCACAGTCCCAAGCAGCGCAGGCACAGCCTACTGGAACCTGCCCTGCACTGATTCCCAGTTCACAGTCAGCCCTGGTACATGCCACAAAC